CACCTTGCTGGGGAACTGCTCGCTACGCAGCCGCCACGCCGGCGCCTCCTCCGCAAAGCCCAACTCCACAGACGCTGGGCCCGCCGCAGCCATGATAGCACGGGCTGCACAAGCGGCTGCGCAGTGCCCGCCGGAAGCAGCTGTCGAGTGCCGGCTCAGGAGGCGGGAGTAAGGGGCGCTACCCGGAAGTCGGGCTCTGGACCGGAAGTGGGTGACCCCATGAGGCGTCTAGCTCTGGAACAGTAGGTTGGAAGCAGTGGAGATAAAATCAGAGCGAAAGGAAGATGCGCTATAGTTGGGATGTGGGACAAAACAAAGCCTCTTGGGTTTGGCTGACCCTTTGCGTTCTTACTTCCGGCCTGTGTGGTCGGAGGCGGAGTGCTGACTACGTGTCTACCTTGGGACTTTTCTGGTGTGGGCCGAGGGTCTGTCTGCACGTGCCCTTCCGGGCAGCACCTAAGGCAGAGCAAGCACCCTCAGACCTGGCCCCAGTGCGGTCAATGGATGTGGGTAACTGATCTGACACGTATTACTCATGAAACAGGCGGTGGAGGTTAAAGGGAAGAATCTCCCATACATTGAGGCAAAAAACCGGAAACTCGGGCACACAGAGAAGCTGTGCTTCAGGCTGTTGGTGCCCCTTGGGCCCAGGCCTGCTGCAGGTTTTGTTTGTAGAAAGCTGAAACCTGCGAGATAAAAAGACTTTGAATGAACAAGTGTTGCTAGTTAATGATTGTGAAATACAATCTAAAGAACAGGCGTAGATCAGGACCACACAGCACAAAGGCACCCCAACATGGGCAAGGGGGACATGTTTCCCATGCATCGTGTGGGAAGGGAACCTCAGGAAGGGCTTCAGGATGGGGTGTTACTAAACTGCATTTAAAGTTTTTGGTAAAATGAGGTCAGCGTGTCTAGGTACGTGTCCAGGAGCTCATGTCAAGAATGACGGGTTTTCCCTTATGCTGAAATTTAAGAAAACAAAACAAAGCCATAAATTGATTAAACAGTTTTGTGGGCTGAGAGTTAACCGGAGACACACGAATTCAAGACAGTTGAACATATCCTTAATAGATTTCAAATTTTAAAGAAAAAATCAATGAGTGTGAAGGAAGATAACAACAGTCTACCTTTCTTTTCAAGACTTCAGATTTGGGCAAGCAGAGTAACAAGCTGTTTTATAAGAGAGGGCTTGGATAACATGAATATATGGTCAGAAAGTTTTCAGAAATGGAAAAGAAAAGGAAAAAATTCTAGGATTAGAGCTTGGGGTTTGAGTGGGTGTGGGTTGGAAATGGGTTAGGATTAAGCATTAGGAGTTGAGTTTAGGGTTAAGGATTAGAGTTAAGGGTTCGGGGATAATATTGGGGGTTAGGGATTGTGGTTAAATAAGGAGTTAGTGTTGGGGTTAGGGTTTGGAATGGGGATCAAGTGTTAGGATTGTGTTTAGGTTTAGGCTTGGATTTAGGGTTAGACTTAGGGGTGGGGCTATGAGTTAGAATTATGTAGAGGATTTGTTTGTACAGTGGGTTAGGGTTCAGGGTTAGGAGCAGTGTTAGGGTTTATAATTGGGGTTAGGGACTCTGGGTTCAGGTTTAGCGTTAAGGGTTTGTATTAGGGCTAGGGTTAGTGCTAGGATTTGAGTCAAGGGTTAGGTTTGAGGTGGGGTTTGAGTTTGATATCAGTCCAATTAGGCTTGTGATTAGGAGTTAGGGTTTTAGTATTTAGGGTTAGGGGTTAGGGTTAAGGTGTTTAGATTAGGTTGTGTTCTGGTTAGGATTTGTGTTAAGTGTGGGGCTTTTATAAGAAATGTTATCAAGGGCTGGCGATTTAGCTCAATGGTTTTCCTGCCTGGCAAGTGCAAGGATCCGAGTTCGATCCCTGGTACCAAAAAAAAAAAAAAAAAAAAAA